TAGATTAGATATAAGGAAGAAAATCTTTCCTGGAACGTGGTGAGGTACTGGAAAAGGTTCCCCAGAGAAGTTGCAGATGCCCCATCCCTGAAGTGTCCAAGGCCAGGTTGGATGGGGCTTTGAGTAACCTGGTCTAGGGGAAGGTGTCCCTGCCCATGGTAGAGGGGGTGGAACTGGATCCCTTCTAGGATTCTGTGATTCTAATATTAAATTGTGTCATTTGGCCCTTTGTCATTTCAGGCTTCTGTAATCACCAAGAGTAGTAAATCTAATAAGCTGGGTTTTTGGAACAGGGTTAGATAATGTGGAGTAAATGGGATATGTGGCCTTTTTTTGTGTCCATATATTGAATAAAGCAGGTCAAAGTCTTTAAGATTTGTATCTGAGGTTTGATCCAAGATTGAATGTATATTCTTAAGCATGAGACTTCTTAGCTTTTCAGTACTTGATTTCTAAGCTCAGTAGTGGCTTCTATGGGTCTTTATGCTAAGTTAAATGAAAAGGCACCAAACTGGAAGAAGCATTAGGACTGTATTGAATTCTGCAGTTTCTGGCCATATGTTTCTTCATCAGGTCTGTCATCTATTGTAAAGATTTTTCTCATTTGGCTACCCGAAGCCTGATAGCAAAGGGGTTTGTCATCCTCTGTGTGTGGACTGGTCCTAGACAGGATCCTGTGCCAAGGGTTTGATTTCCCTCAGCAGTTTCCTTGTAACGGATAGAAGACGATGAGAGCACGGTGACATTTTCTGTCCCAGGCTCTGGAGTGGAGCGTGACCAGGGACTCGCAAATCTTCTCCCTTCTGCCACCACTATCAGCTTGTCTTGTGCTGTTTCCAAAACACTCTTGTCTCAGCCAACTCTCATCCTCAACCCTGGCACCTCATCCTGGTCCCCACTGCTGTTAAATCCTTCTTAGTCTAGCACTGACAAAGGAGCTGTATTTATTCAAAGGGAGATTCTTCTGACCAGATATTGTGGATTTTTGTGGATCCAGTGTACCTTTCACAAAGTCCATCTCTGTCAGGCTTCAGCCTTTCCTCCAAAGTACTTCCAAAAGCAAGGTGCTATGTTTTCTTTTTAACATTGAAAACAGATATATTTTATGTTGTCCTTTTTTTCCACCTTTATAAAAAACTTAAGCAGTTTGTCTGAAGTTTTCCCTAAAGAAATGAGCTCAGGAGCACCAAACATGAAGAATGTTAATATAAACAGTTGAAGTTTGCCAAAGTTCTAAGCACACTGAAAACATCATTTTGCAGTTGCCGTAAGGTTGGTAACAAGTGATACCACTGTCCTCTCTTCCCCACAGTACTTACAGGGAGTGCGTATGTCTCGAGCAAGCAGTATAGAAGTAAATCTGAGGAATATATCTTATTTGGCAATTTGTTTAACAAACAATCGCTAATTCAGTAAGTTTTACTTTATCCAGAACTACAGAATTGTGTGCTGCGTAGCCTGTTGGGGAGAAGTTGAGACACCAGAAATACGTAAGCACTGGACATTCGGCAAGATTATTGGCAGCGGTGTCCCCAGCAGACAGGTCTTGTATGCTGATGAAGTGCCAGGGAAAGTGTATGCTGGTTCCTTTCTTGACAGTTTTTGTCCTTGTCAAAAAGTATGTGCAGTCAGATCTTTTTAGGGTTTAAGAATTGGTGAAGATACCTCTGGTAGAGCAAAATGCAGTCTGGGAAAAGGGGAAGTTTGGAGGATCAGGCATTCATTTGTATTTCTGTTCAGAAAAAAGTCATTTATAGTTAAGAAGGAAATTTCTCATTTCATTAAATTCTGCAGATCAGGGTATAATGCAAGCATTTAGTTTTTAATGAGCTCTTTAGTCAGTTATGAGTAGCCTCAGATCATTACATTCGGTCAGTAATTCACTATTTCGCTCATCAAATATGTCGATTGTATCTTCTGCCACTTCAAAGACTGATTTTGCTACATAAAGGCACAAAAGCAGAATGCTGAAAATTGCCATGTAAATGTATTTCCTTAAAAGTGATTTGAAACATAAGTTAAATTTTTAAGCTAACTAATATAGTTAGTTTGCCAAAAATTGTGTCAGTAGTTACAATTTCAATATAAAGCACACTATATTTTAAAATATTCAATATTAAACTAATATATCATTAATTACATCATTTTGTTGTGCTAGATGAATGAATACGTATTTAAAACTGTCTTCAGAAGCACGGTTTTATAATGAGCCCAAAGGCACTGTATTCCCACTGGGGGGTTGTGTGAAATATTGATTAGCTTAGTTCTGAACTGAGAGGAAAGCAAAATAATTATTCATCTGTCTACCATGCATATTTTAAATATGATTTATGTTACTTCAAGACTAATGGAAGAATTCCAACAGAAATACCACATCTTTTCCTTTTTATTTTATTTTATAGCTGAGTTGGGGTTTTGGTTTTTTTGGTTTTTTTGGTTTTTTTGGTTTTTTTGGGTTTTTTTTTTGTTTTGTTTTGTTTTTTTTTTAAATTCTGAATCTTGATCCAGAGACCTGAAGAGAAGCAAATGCACTAAATGGTCCTGCCCTGTAGCTCTGGATGCTGAGCACCGCATGCAAGGTGGAAAGCAAAACTTCCTGTTCTCCATCACTTTGCAACATCTTTCAGTTTGCAACAGTTTTCACAATTGTTTCACAATTCACAAAACAAATTTGCAACAACTCTCAATTTTCTGCTGCTTTGCAACAAGTGCAGCATTGAACTCCCGGGTGCAAGAAAACAAACAAAAAAAATGAAGTTTTCCTGGAAATGTGACAATATTTTCACTTTAGGGAAAGGGGGTATGTTTGGCTTGGAGGGCTGCCCTTGGGGCTCTCTGGCCGTGCGTCTGGGTCCCTCCAGCGTGTGCTCTGCGCTGCGGCAGGGGTGCTCCTTGGCCAGGTTACTGCCCTGCCCACGGGCCCTCCATGGCACGAGATCGCAGCCATCCATGTGCCTCCGCACCGGCCAGGCACTGCTGCCGCTGGAGAGATGCTGCTCAGAAAGCTGCAGCCATGAGGAGAGTCCAACATGAAAAGAAAGTCAAATGTTTAACTGTTCCAATCCGAATTTTGCATTTCAAATGTAACTTTTTACGCCAAAATGCTCTGGGTGTGGTCAGCTCCCTTTAAGTCAAGTCTTCCATTAATTAAATGCTACAAATTTGGTGCTGCTTAGTAATTTTGGAGAAAGCAAACCTTCTTTATCCATAGTTAAAACTTTTAGCAGCTACTTTACTAAGTAACTTGGGAAAATACTTTGTTTCATTTTCTTACAGGGCTGAATTTTTTTTCAGGGTGGGTAGTTTGTTTTGGGCAGGTTACAATAAAGCTAAATTCTGATGTCAAAAGTTAAGTATTGCAAAGTTCAGAGTTCCCTCTGTTTTCTTTTGGAGGAATAAGGCAGATGTTCATATTCTCTTGGACCGTGTGCATTGCTTGCCCTGTGTAAATTTGGGCATCTGCCTTTCTATAAACTTCTAATTGCCTGTCATGCTGTGTTGGTTTTATTGGAGACGTACTTAATTACAGCCAGGGCTTCAGTAATAGCTCCAGAGTTCATGTTGCCTTGAGCAGGACTTTTTGACAATCCCAGAATGTGCAATTTCAGCAGACAATGCAGAATACTAATGGGTGGTGAAAAATGCTATGGGCAGCTCGGTCCCTTGTATCTCCTTGGGAAAGAACCCCAAACACTTTACTTACAGGAGTAGAAAGTGCCAGTTTGGGCAAAACTTGCAGAGAAACCCCCCCAAAGACTAGGTGGGAGGCTCAGCATCTCACTGAAATACTGACTCCTTAAAGTCAGTGGATGTGGAAAGGCCTTTTAGGCATCACCACAAGGTGCCAGCAGTGGGGATGAGGTGAGAATGGAGGAGGAAGAGCAGCAAGGTCAGATATTAGAGAATAAAAGCTGGGTGATGCTCACTTACTGATTTTGGTATTGTCTGTTATCATATGTGTTCATTGTGACGGTACCATCACTGCCTCTCTATATCATCCTTACCTATGGTGAAGGTATAGGCGTGACTTTTTTTTTTTTTTAATTAAAAACAATTTTGTGGGTTTTTCCCATCTTTTTTTCTTTCAGAAGCCTTTTTTTCTGAAATAGCAACTCTGATATTACAGTAGGAACAGAAACTGCAGATCTCTGCCAATCTGAGTTTAATCTAGCCTCTTATAAATTGATTAATTGTGTTGCAGCAGTCTCAGACAAAAAATTACTTCCCAATTTTTTTTTGAATGCCGATGAAAGAAAAGGGTTACACAGCAGTGGCATTATCCCTCAACACAACTCTTAAGGGAAACACATCTGACTCCCATTTATACTTAGAGCAACCTCTCACAACTCAGTAGTCTATCTTGACTGGTTGGTTGGTAAGTTTATTCTGAAGCTAAAATTTTTAAAAATTCAATCACTTTGAAATAAGCAATCCAACCTTAGAATAAGCATGCTATACTAAAGAAGAAGAATGTCACTGAGTGTGTAATTTACTTAAAATGCTTGATATTTTCCTGTTTTTAGTTCTTCTTCACCTAGGAAAAAAGCCAAGTCTATTGAGCTGTAGTACAGCCCCTTTATAATTAACTGCCTTGATGTTTTCTCTCCAGACTCCTAAGTACACTGAGATAAAAAATTCATGCAAGTACTGTAGCAGAATTGCAAGAATAAGGTCATATCTCACCTGTTCCACATAACACATTGGGATGCCAATTTATATTGTTATTAGCAGCAGCCCAATAAATGCAGTTTCTGATGTACATCACAAGATGGCAGCAAATTTTTAATTCACTTAATGTTTTACTAACCTAGATAAACCTAGTATCTTGAAATTATCGTTTTGAAATGTTTGCAGGTGTGAGCTTTGAAAGTTATGAAATGAGAAGCTTGGCTCAGCTCCTTTAGCAGATCTTTTCTTCTGTGCTGGTCAATACCAGAAGTTAAAACTGGTTTATCTGCTTGGCCTGTTTTGTCCCGGGTATTAATTGTCGTTGTTTGTAGGTATTACAGAAGATGCATCTGATGGCCTTTAAAATGCTCTACTTTTTGTTTTCCCTTGCAGTTTCACAACCCCAGGCTGTGCATAGCCAGCTGGAGAAGCCATCAACTACTGCAATTCTCTGCAATAACTGTGGAAACCCATGTAAAGGAGAAGTTTTGAGAGTTCAGAACAAATATTTCCATATTAAGTGCTTTGTTTGCAAAGGTAAGTGTTCATGATGGCTGCTCCCATGAGTAGGGCATTAGCACTGGCTGTGTGACTTCATGGTCTTGGAAACTTGACAAACATATTTTACAACGCAGTCCATGCCTGAAAGGATTTACTGGAAACTCTGTGACTGCCTACCGTAAGATTATAAACATCCTAAATCCTAAAAGTGATGTATGTTTTGAATGGATATAAACAATTGGAGTTTACTATAGAGTTGGGACCTGAAGAATAACAGGTTGGGAAAACTGGTAGTAAAACACGGTGAGGGTTAGGAGAGAATTAACATTTACGAAGAAATTTGGAGGGTATCCCTCTCCCAGCTTTCTAATGCATGCCATGGGGTGGGCCACGGCCACATCTGTTCAGACTCTCGTGCTGGATGGTGATGTTGGAATCCCAGTGTGACCCTCTGTGCTTTTCCATTTTTTGGGGGGAACTACTTGGTTTGCTCCAGGTTGGTACCTGGCTGTGATCTAATATAGACCCATCGTGAATGGCAGAAGGATGGTCAAGGAAACAAGGAATTAACTGATACAACGCCCCTTCTGTAGATCCTTGGCTGTTTGACAGATTTTCTGGAAGTTGCAAAGATCTGATTTGTTTTAAATGTACAAATGAGTGAATGTTAACTAATGTTTACTGGACAACCTGCTTGCTTCATTATTAAGCAGTGCTTCAAATGACATTTATTAGTCCTTGTAGCACAGCCTGGAAACATGGCATGGCTCTGGTCCCAGCTGTGTTAATGTGACTATTTCCATTTCTGTTTAGAGGAAACTATCAGAAGGAAAACTGTCGTTATCTGTCAGCTACACTGATATTTTTATAAATCCTGTGGGATTAAGTATTCAGATTCAATACCTGAGTCAATCTCTAATGAGTTAGGTAGCCAGGGTTAAATGTTCAGCTCAATAATTGTGTTCTTTGCAAAATTACACAGCAAGAGAAATATGCATAGTGCACTATCATGAATATTAAAAATATTTTGGTCACCTATTCAGAACCAGAATGGTATATAAGGCAGAACACAGCCCATACATACATCTTTCAAACTCTTTTAAAGTCACCTGTTCTTATGGCAAATTTTATTATCAAATCAGTTTTTCAGACATAACTCAGAGCGAGCGCGGTTGATTTGTTATTCGAGAGTCTTGTCTCCTGCATGACATCTCAGTATGTGCTCCATATAATTATCTTGGTGAAATCCAAGCCCCCTTTTAGACAGATGTGCTATGAGAAAACATTGACAAGTCCTGTGGAAGGAACGAGACACAATTATGCATCCACGTTTTCATTTCATAGAGCATCTCCTTTTAGAGGTTGCCAGGTCATCCACAAATGCAGCAAGGGGATTCTGAAACTATGCACTGATCTCAAATTTAGGCAGTGTGGAGGCTTTTTTTCCCATGTACCTTCATGCAGAAGATGATGATGAATGTACTGTAGAAGCTGTATTACTCCTACCTGTCTGTAAGAGATAAGGAGTTCGTTCACTTCAGGCAAATCTTGGATAAAATGAGTAAAAAAATCCCTCTGTTAACACGGCAGAAGCAGGGTGGCATCTGTCAGCCACCCATCAGACTCAGCTGGCATGGGAGGTAGTGTCAGGGACGCGTGGTTAAACTGCTGCTTGGTGTCAGGGCTCTTGGAGAACTTCTATTCCTCCTCACTAATCATTTTGTGAAGTGCTAAGTTTGCACACATGGTTGGGGTTTTTTTTTTCCCCTCATTATTTAAATGCCATAATTCCTTTTATCACTTTTCATGGGTTTCTGTCATTTTACTGGCATCCTTCTGGTATCTGTTTTTGTTTTGTTTCTGGGTTTTCTTTGTTACTTAAGAAGCATAAGTTGCTTTCTAGTGTGGATTTACCACGTTGTTATGTGAGAAGAGCTTAGGAATAGAACTGAGCACTGAACATACATTTCCCTAGCTAACAGAAAGGGGGGAAAAAAAAATCAGGTTAGGCAAATGTAATTTGGATTTTTAATCATATGCTCAAATCAAAGGATGAAAAAATATAGTTAATGTGTTAGGATTTAGGAAAAAAAATGGTATTCAGTTCTCCTGGTCAGTTGACCACTGACCTCTTTTCAGCCTTGGAGGAGACGCTCGTGTCATGCCCCCTTTTCTCAACCCCTTTTCTTGTCATGCTGCTGGGCTGTTGTGCATGGGCAGGGTGACAGTCCTGGGAATATAGTTACCTTATGGCTGACTCCACCCTGCGGTGCATTTATTTTGCCAGTACTTAGCAATGCAGTTTTGCCCCTCTCGCCTCATCCGCCAAAGATAGCACCTTGAAAGAGGCAGCGTGTCCAGTGGCCGGCGCAGCTGCAAGGACAGTCCCGGGACAGATAATCCCACGTGTGGGCCGGCTGCATCGCCCTGCTAAGCTGCCTGCCTGCCTAGGCTGATGCCTCTGTGTTAAACCACCTCATAGCCTTCATCAGAAAACCTTAGATATTTCTAGAACTGCAGAAAATTATGTTCCTTCTCACAGTATTTACAGATGTGTGATGGTGGAGACCACACGCTGACAAAGAGCCCATGAAGAAGGACAAATGACCATGTCTTGAGAGGGTGTCTGGAGCTATTTGAGGTCTGTTGAGTGACTTGGTCAGTGACAGATGATATGACACTGGAAGAAGTCACAGTTACCTTTTTGAATACATGTGAAATGTGAATAAATTTCTTTGATAGCGTTGGGTAAATTATGAGGTTTCAGGGGGGCAGAGCTGTTTAACCATTTCATTTTTTTTTTTAGTGTAGAAAGATAGTTTTGTGTATTGCCATACTGCCGTCTGGTTATTCTTATGGGGACTGTGAGTTTCAGAATGGTAACAGCATGTATGTAGCTGCTTTTAGTATTTAAATTGAATTATATAACCAAGGAAAGTTAGCGTAAGGTCACTCATTCCCATCCAGTTCTCCTTATGTTCCCCAGATAGTGATTCTAAAGGATTCTAAGAAAAGTTTTTAAAATCTCATAATTCTTATTATTCAAGATTAAGATACACATTCAGATTAAAAATTTTAATAGCAATACTGTGAACATTGGCTAGTTTTGCTCAGTATCAAAGTTTAATAGGACTTATGGAGATAAATAGGCATTATAAATACAGTTTATACTTGTATCTATTCATTTATATTATTTTTTATTAAAGTGCAGATCTAATCTGCTAGGAAAAGGCTGTAAGGAACATGCCATCTAGTCTCACTTCAAATTTTAACTCAGTCTTTACCTTAAAATATCTCCCGTTTTAATCTGGTTTAATAAAAATGCAGTTGTAATAGAAGTAGATGCCTTTGAAACAATAAGGCAAACATTTTATTCATTAGACTTCAAGGGCTTCGGTTCCCACATTTGCAAATTCTCTTCTTATTTCTTACTGCTGTAATGAAAGCACGAAGGAAAATAACAAAGGGTGATAAAATATGGATGAGTCAGGCTATCGAATTAAAACCAGTTGTGTTGTCTGGTTCATTCCAAGGCTGGCTGTCAGGTCAGGACTGCTTCTTATATGGGGCATGGTATTAGGCCACTACTCACTTGGAGTTCAATTACAAGGGCCTAATTCAGTGAGACGGTAGAGACACAGACTAATGTAGAATTGTAGATATGAGCGATGTAGGTGCTGCAACTGTATTATCCTGGAGAGCCTCTTTGATCTTTCATAAAGACAGAAATTACATTGGTTTAGGAGTGTTTGTCAAGTATTTCTTTTTCTGTGATGTAATCGCATCCCGACATTTCCAAAATAGCAGTAACCTATGTCAAATACAGTAGTTAGGAAATATTGGAAGCGTGAATCAAAGCCTAATGTTTCTAGGGGGTCTGGATATTTTGATTACTATAGCTTTATATAAATGAGAAGATAAAGTTTGCAGTATTTTATATAGTCACTCTAGCAGACCAAATAATGGACAATCCATAGCATGTTTGCAAATCTATTTGTGTTCAAAAGTCCTGCAGCCTTTTTTTTTTTGCATGGAAAAATCCATGCAATCCTGCAAAGAGCTGTTCTTTGTACAAGACTAGTCATATGTGAGAAGAACCGTAACTCATATCTTTGTCCTTTACTGGTTTGATGAAATGAAGTAAGCTTGCAGTCCAACCCACAGATGTAAAAACAAGACCATTGTGCTACAGCAGCTTTGCTGCCTATGTGCCTGTCTTGGTTTACCCCAGTCAAAATTCCCTGGATTGCTGTCTTGCTATGGATGCAACACATGCAGTCTTCCTTGCTGACATGGCTAGCAGTTCCAAGTGGGTTTTTTTTTCCCCTCATGAATTTTCCTCTATTTGTTTAATTAACCCACTAGACCATACCACATCCTCAGCTAGAGTTGGGTATATGTTTCTGTGGGCCAGCAGTTCTGATTCTTGTGGCACTACAGTTTCCTGGGAATTGTGAAAAAGCCCTGGGCTGGACATATCACTTTTATATCATTTTTCAGTACAACATACAGCACAACCCAGAGTTATATCATTTATTGTGAAGCCATGTTAACAGGAAGGGCTAGCACAGAATATTCAGTGAAAAGGTTAAAAAAAACACGTAACTTGGTAATAGGAGTGATTTGTTTGTTAGATCGAAAGCATCTGCTAGGATATAAATATGTTAAAAGCTACGCTGTGTGATCCGAGTGACTCGCGTTTGAACATAGCTGTGGGGTTTCACATTTCGGAATGGGAGTCGTTTACGGGAAGCTCACTAGTAAGATTCCTGAGTCCCAGCTTTTGGCCAGGCGGTCGGGGTTGATGGCACGTGTGGTATCTTAGGCACTGGGGATGCAGCGCAGGGGCTCTTGTTCATCAGGTGCTCTCAGCAACGTTCCCGTCGCTTCCCAAGTACTTCAGGACTTTGCAGTCCCAGATCATATTAACTTGGTATAATAGGAAAAACTGTGCTTTCGATGCAGTACTCGGAGTCTGGCTTGGACGATATGGTGGGTTTGGGGCTGACTTACCACTGTCACATTAGCTTCATATT